GGAATCATGCTGCCACCATGACAGGGATTCAGTTTCATGGTGAAAGACTGTGGTCGAGGCTATTGTCTACCTCCTCCCCATAGTCTCCTGGGGGCCTGTGCACAGCTCAGAACACTCCCTCTAGGGAGCAGGATGCTATCACATACACAGCAGAGTCACACAGGTGAGCAGCTGTGATAGGTGCCACCTGCTACGGTGTAGTGTCCAGTGGATAGTCTCAGGGTGGGCAGGAAGGGATGGAGCTCACTCATCTGAACAAAACATGGAAAGCATGCCAAAGTGAGGTGTGCCCCACCCCCCACCCCCAGCCAAGGGGAAAGTAGGCAGGTGCTGTTCTAAGGGACACAGGCAATAACTAGTTTGTTTCTCTCCTTGTTCACTGTTTTACAAGCTTGCACACACACACACACACACACACACACAAAATGTGCTTCTTTGCTTTGCTGATGTTCATCTGCTTCTGAACTCTGCCCTCTTAGTTGCTGTGAAAGTGATTCTGACCATGGAGGGAGAAAGACAAATAACAGATGATTTCACATGTGTGTGGAATATAAAGAAAGAAATGATCAGACAAAATCAAGGCAATAGCAAACCCCAGGAATCTGTCTACAATTAAGGCTACCAGAGTGGGAGGGTAGACAGCAAAGCATGGGGGGGGGACCCATGGACTGTGGAGGAGCATTGAGGGTGCCAGGGTGAGGGGGTGTGTTGTGGTGACGTGCATCTGAAGAGGTATGATCCTTTACCTAAGTCACACATGGTATTGGAAATAGTGTTGACTCGACTGAAAAAAGAATCAGACTATGCTATCAAGAGCTAAAAAACGTGATTTCCATGCTGGAAATAACCTACCTTACTACTGGAACTCTTAGGAACAAGGACTCTAAGAGAATATGGAATTTCCTAAAATAGTCCCGATAATGAGGACAAACTGGTGGAGCGGCTCAGGGCCCCCCATATCTGAAGATCTTCCATGAGGGCATGAGGGGCTCCATTTCATTCAGGGCAAAAATCAGGGTTTCCTGAGACAAAGGGTTAAAGTAATTTAATGCAACCCAATGCTGAGTGTGGCTTACTTGGTGGTCAGGTAAAGACACACACGTGCCTTTCTTTCTAATCTATACCCACCCATGAGAAAAAAAAGAAAAGAAGTTTTCATTTCTTTTGAACTCTTCCATTGTTTAAAGGAGTGAAAATAATCAAGAGATTATTTCTGCCTCATGCCAAACTCCAATGATGTCTCAGGATACTTGTGTGAACCGAACACAGTGTGACAAGCTGAAAATGCACGTTCTAATGAGGCTTCTGTTTCGTCGGCCTTTTAGAAGGAAAAGGATATGATTTCACAGTGGCCTGCTGTGAGTGGACTAGCACCGTCTTTGCAGTGTGGCATCTATTTGACCCCCGGCTATGACCCTCACTGTGAGTGTTAAGTGCTGGGGTTCAGCTGGCGTGTGCCGTGTCTGTGGGTGTGTGTGCAAGACTCCCCTGACACGCCAAGAGTATGAGTGCTCACTTAGGAGGTAAAGTTCAAAATACAGTGGGGACATCGTGTCTGAGAAAACTTGTCAAGGCACAGGCGACAGTAAAACATCCATTTCCTCCACTGAGGAGCTCAGGTCCCCTGGAAGGGAGAGGACGCCAGTCCCCTGCACAGTTTTCCTTCCCCATCATGGCTACTTAGTTGACCGATGGCATGAAGCGAGGCTACAGCTCAGCCCTGTGCTTGCTGTGTGCTTACTTGAGGAGGGACAGGAGAGCAAGTCCCCGCTGTAGCCACAGCGGCCCGCATCGGTGGGCAGCAGTGTTAGGGTTTGGCCTCCATTCTTCCCCATCAATTTGAGACGGTCCACACAGCCCTATGCCCCTCATTCCCACTCCGTGGCCATCTTCCCTCCCCATCCCTTTCCTCGCTTGCTCATCTCCCTCTCTAGGATGTGGAGAATAAAGGGGTCTAATGGTCTCAGAGCAGAGGGGTAGCTCAGAAGTTTGCCCTCTTCCTCTTGGACTGGAGCTCTGAGAAAGGTGCCGTGGCTGGCATTTGGGAGACCGGCTCACAGCCCAGCTGTGCACCCCAGCGTGTGGCTATTCTCGGGCAGGCTGGAGGGCGGGTGGCTGGCTTGCTTACTTTTAGCTGTTTGGTCTTTTCCCGCAGCGTGTGGCGGTAGATCTGTAGCTGTTCTGCAGCCTCGGGGCCAGGCTGCCGGGCCAGGATGTGCTTTAGCTCGACGTACAGTTTCTCCTTTTCCTGGTGGAGAGACAACCAAGGTAGATTAAACAGCCCCATCTAGACAGGCAAGTGCCTATAGTAGACGGCCGGCTCCACACTCATTACCTCAACTGTGGATTCTTTCGTCCATATGTGCATGAAACCAAGCCCAGTCAAGGAGGCGTCCAGCGTCCAATACAAACAATAAGACAGATGAGGAAGAGAAAGTGCCCATAGAGAACAAACTCCAGAAGGAAAGCAGAGGAGAGAATGAGGACCCTGCGGGGGATGGTGGAGGGCGGGGGGACAGGAGGGTGCTGGCCAGAGAGGGCAGGCCAGGAGAAGATGGAGAGAGCTGGACCTAAGGCAACTGGAATGAAAAGCAGGTTGGTGTGTAAACATCTCTGAGGTAGAGTCAGTGGGGTTGAGTGGAAGATCAGATGAATGAGGACGAAGGAGCAGGAGCCCAATGAGGATTGGAGGCAGAGAGGCTGGAAAGGGACGAGGTTCGGGGCTGGCAGGAGAACCTGCCTGGGCTCAATTCTGGTAACTGCTTATGTGGGCATTGCTGTGCTTGAGGTCCAGTAGGATTTCTGGAAGAGGAGTTAAAGAAAAACATGGTCCCGGAGCTGAGAACTGAGGAGCAAGCTGGAGTTAGAGGCGGGACATGGCTGGTGCAGGAGAGTGGAGGTATGTAGGAGTGGGCAAGCGGATCGTTGGGAGAACTGGCATGAAAGCAGTGGGGAAGGAAGAGGAATTAGAGAGGATGAGGGAAAGTAAGTGAACGTCCTCCAAACCAAGAAATGGCAGGGAATGAAGTGGGGTAGAGAGAAGGAACACGAGAGGGACTGAAAACAGCCTTGGGGTCAGGCTAGAGGATGGCACTGCTGACTGTAGAAAGCACCACAACGTGGGCAGCAAAAGTCACAGAGGTTGAAGAGCAAGTCAGAGAACCAAGTAACCTTTCTACTTGACACAGGAATAAGAGAGGTCTGGAAACAGTTGAGGGAACAGATGAACATCCAGAAGAAAGAACTATGCAGATTTGTGAGACTAAAAGACCCAAAGTAAATCATAATTCTGTAGCTTAATTTAGCCAATAAACAATGTAGAACTCCCATTTGTACCCTGAAGTTTAATTGCTTGTAACGTGTGTTCAGATCCTTGAACTAAAGATATTACCTACAAGCAAAGATTTATTTCTAGGGCATCTCAATTCTAGATTCCCATTTCCCTAAACTGCAATAATTTGAACAAACATTGATAAAGACTAGTGTGTCTACTCATTTGTCTCTGTACATACTTATTTCCTTAAGGTAATTATGTTAAAGGGGAAAATAGATATAAGTAAAAGCTCTCTCATTAAATGAAATATCCAGTCAAATGGAAACTAATTTTTGCCTGGAGCTGAGTATTCTCAGTACTGTCATCAAATAATCTTTTTTTTTTTGCCAGAGAACATACAAGTCATTGAAAAAAAAATAAACAAAAGAAACACCATTAATGGGTCATTGTTACCATTTGTTCTACCTTTTCCTCTTCCCTGGCCAAACTGTGGAGATTTTATTACAAACAACATGGCTCAACTTGATGCAAAATGTACACGACTAAAAATTAGTCAGATGAAAGAAGTTTCTGGAGAAATGCAGATCAAAAAGTACTCCCCACTTAAGAAGTAATTCCAGAAAAGACAAGGAAGTCGGAAGGCCTGCACAAAAGAAGCTTGCACAAATAGAATTACAAAGTGGTGATCTTCCTCTGCGGTGGAACACCTCCTGTCACACCTTGCAATATAATCTTCCCAGTAAATGGATGTCGCAAGCAATGAGAAAGATAACAGGAGGTGAGTTTATTTTCTATAGCCACTTAATGCCTGCTCTGTGGAAAAATAACACTTCTGACAAGGCTTCAAGATTCAATTTGGAGAGGGTAATAAATAGGAAGGGCAGCTCATGGAACCGGTTTGTCCATTTCTCTCTGCTCACTTTCGTGTCCACCAGAGGATGGGCAGACTTGAACGATAGAGAAGCCTACCACCACAAAGAGGGAGACATCTGGTGGGTGGTATTGGCTCAAAGTAAAAAGCCCCTCTAGAAACTAAATGTTTCACAGGTGTAATTCTTTTCCACTGTTCCCAGTAGGGAGGGTGGAGAGAGACACAGAAGAGAAAGGCTGGAAGAAGCCAGCAGGTGCCTCACAAAGGTGAGAATCCCAAGGGCAAGCAGAGCGGACGGGTGTAGCCTGAGTTCCCTGACAAGTGAAAAACATGTGTAGCCGAGATGCACTCAAGAGTCAGCATTCCCTACACCTCCACTGACAGGGAGACACTCTGTAATCCTGAAAAAACCTGGATCAAATTAAGCTACATAATTCCTAAAGGATACATGATCACATCCACAGAAAAATGGGGCCAGCAGGTGAAAGCCCGGTGAGAAGGTGTCAGAGGCGAGAGGACATGGCTGCTCTCTCTCCTGACCTACACCACCGCAGCACGCCCTGCCCGTGAAATCCTTACACACAGTGCCAACGATGTTGCCACTGCCCGCCTCCTCCTCTCACTCCTGGGTTTTTCTTTCAAGGCTGTAAAGTGAATTGAAATGGATTTATTCTAAAGGACAATTGAGCGACTGAACAGTGAGGATCCACAGTGTGGAGAGAAGTGAAGAAATGAGTGAATTACCATTAAAACTGCCAGCGTATTCAAAGTCTAAAAGTTCTGAGAGTTAAATAACCCAGGACAAGTGATGCGTGTGCTTTTGTGGTGGGTGGAAAGAATACCAATGAAACGTCAGGGACTAAGACGTGGAAGTATGAAGAGTAGAGGGAAAGGGAGGAGTCATTGCTTGAAATGCCTCATCAGGCTCAAGGTGCATGGTCCATGTGTGGACCAGAAAACCCAACTGATAAAGCCAAAATGAAGGCCAGTTAGCATTAACATTCCAGCCGTGTGTATCATACAGATTTGTATTTTGGAAGAACGTGCTAGTAATTTAGATAAATATGGAGTGTTTGATGGATTGAGGGTCTTAAGTACGATTGTTTTTCAATTTATTTCACTCCTAACCCTCTACAAGGGCCAAGCAAGCTCTTCAAACATTGTGCAATGGTGTGTATAATAACCCCATTTAGAGACAAAGCGTGCAATTCTATTATAAAGAGAATCTATCTTATGCAACAGAGACTCATTAGCTGTCCAATGTATATTGTCTCCATAAGCCTGCAGTGGCAGAACCAGCTGCCTTGTAATACATATCCTGTCCTTCTTCATTAAATTGCATCCATTTCCTTTTAAACCCAGTCAATTAATTTGTCACTGGGTTAGAAGCACCATATGTCAATGAAACATCATAAGAAAATCATAAATAGTTTATTATTTCCCTACCAACAAAAGATTGCATCTTTAGGTTGGCATTTCTTTATTCAGAGTTTGTTCCTAATGCACATCGATATTACTTTGTAGCATGCCTCGCCAAATTATTTTATGACCAACCATACTGAAAAAACAACAAAAAAAAGCTAGACTATTAGCACCAAGAGACTAGCTTTCTCTTTGGCTGAGCTTGTCTTGTGAGCATTAACCATACTACGTCCATCCTTCAAATGACGCTCTCTTCCTAGACACTCCACGCTCTCAGCTGGACAGACTGTCAGACATGGCTGTGGATTCTTTTGTTGCAAGAGTTCCTGCCAAGGTACGCTAGGTAACAGCATGGCTCATTGTCAATATTGGCTGAGTATAGTGGTAAGGAATTAATTATGGCATTAGCTCCATATAGTGCTGTCATTATATGGTGACAGCCTGAAACCCGCGTCAGAACCTCCAGCTACAGAATCACTCAGACTTCAGGTATTTGTATTTTATCTGAAAATAAATTAAAAGTCTACATACTGTACAGTCTATGCAGATAAGAGTTGGTGCTATTCTGCTACAATTCAGAGGAAGAAATTGAGTTGCTCTCAGAACTCCTTTCCCCACCAAGCTACAATTTCATATTCGCTGTCAGTTTATATTCTGTCTTTTGCTTTGCATTCCCAGCTGAAAACAAAAGGTAGCTCGCATTCAATGTGCACCTTACCACCTCTTTCTCCTCAGCTCGCCCACTTGAGGCAATAACTGCCTAAGAGGAACTAATTTATTCTGTTTTAATCTGAATCTGTGTTTGGTGAATGCCAGTGCGTTGACTCTGCTCACCCTGGATTCATCAATTTGCTTGGGTGAGTGCTGGGAATAATTGCCTCACCTCGTGAACTAGCCAACTCATTTGAAGCAGGCAGCTCTCCTGATGCAAAGACATGCTTATCTATGGCCACCAGGGGAAAGCCACCCACTCAGAAGCTTGGAAACCGCGACACCAAGGAGAGAGACACCTCTTGTCTTCATTCTAGATCGCCCAACTGGGTTCAAGATGAAGTTGGGTTTTTGTTTTGTTTCTCTTTTTTAATTCTAAAACCACTACTTTTAAGAGAGCCCACTTCATAGAATATATGTATGTGCGCGCGCGCACACACACACACACAAATCTCTTTTCTAAATGTCAGCAGACACCATTTATGTTACTTTAGTATATAATCATTAAGAATTCATTCTTTCGGGCCCTCCCTGGTGGCGCAACGGGTTGAAGCACAGCACTAAGAAGCTAAAGCCACTTCCGCATGAGTTCGATTCCCCCCTGCCCCGGAGGGAGACCTCTCCTGACCCGCCCGCTGCTCCCCTCAGCAGTGTACTTCGTCGATCTGCCTGTTCTGCTCCCCTCTCTGTCTCTGGTGAATCCTCTCACCCTCCACATTTCTGGCCTGTACCCCAGTTCCACAGGAATAAATAAATCTTTAAAAAAAAAAAAAAAGAATTCATTCTTTCTCTCCAAGCGAATCCTGAACCATGAAGGTCAGAAGCACAATGGATCTCCGTGTCCTCTGTGCCTACCACTGTGCTCTGCTCATTGCAGATGCCCCATAATTTCGTTGCTTGCACACGATATTGTCAGCAGACTATGCCTAGCGTATTGTAGCAGTAAAATCAACAAAGGTAAGATATATGG